CCGGCGCAGATGGAGAAGCGCCCGTGCTGTGTGGCCCTCTGAGCTGGCTTGGGACCCCCGGGAAGCTCCAGGGGACCCCCGCAGCCCCGGGATGTGCCAGTGGTGTAGAGCTGGGTTTGCCTCTGCGCAGAGTCATCTGGCCACCAGCTGGTGTCACCCAGCCTGCGGTGCCACCCCTGTCCTGGTGCAGTGGGGACCAGCAGCCCAGACGGCGGCCAAATTCTGCCATTTTTTTTTTACCAGTGCTGGGAGCTCTTCTCTGTCTGCTTCGTTTTTCCCGGGCCCTGATTAGCATCGCCACCGTCACGCACAGACCTCCCAGCCCCTCCGGCCCCGCGGTGCAGAGGACTGAGGTACCCCCGAGGCACTGCTGGGGAAGGAGCCAGGAGGTTCTGCCCAGGATCGTGCCGGCGATGGGAACCTCTCCGATTGCGTCTGGCCCTGGGGTTGCTCCCGTGGGGTCACCCAGTGCCACGTGCTGGGCATGTGGCTGTCCCCACAGGTCTCCGTCCCCACCGGGGACTGCTCTGGGGTCATGCCAAACCCTAAGGAGCGAAGTGGGAGCGCCCTTGGCGTGCCTCTGTCCCCATCCCAGACACGGGACAAGTGTGACATCGGGACCTAACGAAGGTCCCTGCTGTCGGCACGGCGGGACGGGGCTCGGCGCAGAGCCCGGTGCCAAGGGGCCCGGGAGCAGCTCCGTGTCCAGCACCAACAGTAATGCAATCATTAAAGGACTTGCGAAATGCAGGTTTGCTGAGCTGGAATTCCTGCGTGTTTGTGGTCCCATCCCCTGGTCCCCACCTCTGTGACAGGCCAGAGATCGTGGCCACCCAAGCAGCCCAGCCCCCATGCCATGGGTCCCCCTGTGCCCCTTCCCCACACAGCCTTTCCCAGGCCACATCCCCACACCCTCGGTGGCTTATAGGGGACAGCTGGCAGTTTATCCGTCCAAACTGTGACTTGGCCTCGGCCAGTTACCCAAAACCCCTCGGAAAAGGGCGAATT